TGCACAATTTTCATATACACACTTCAACACTTTAACAATGGACATGATCTACACCTCAAAATATAAAAACATAAAGTTATACTGATGCTGCATAGAAATAATTAGATATATATATGTATATACATTTTAAAATGTAAATCTAATAATCAATAAAAACTAATGTTGTACAAAAAGCTTTCAAAAATGATGAAACTCTTACAATATTATGTAAAATTGATGCTACATAAATGACAATAAAAAAATGTATAAGCACAAATATTAATAATATTCACCAAATACTAATCTAACTCATAATCCATTCCAATTCTAACAAATATATATGATAACTATACTGTAAAAAACAAAAGGAACTTCAATGAAAAATAAAAGCAGCAAAACGAAAAATCACCTTCGCCAAACACTCGATCAAATAAAATCTGAATCAAAATCTTCAAAACTAAAAAACCGTGACTGCAAAAAACAAAAACAATCCAAAAAAAAAAACTCAATGCGACCAATAAAAAACTGAAAAAATCAGAGACTCTTTCAAAATTTAAACCGAAATAAATTAAAAAACACACAACACTTCGAAAAATCTAAATTAGAACACATAAAATTCAGAGAGATAAACTTGAGAGAAACACTTACCTTCAAAGAAAACTTGAATGATTCCAATAGAAATTATGACAAGAGATAATTGACAAAGATGACGAGAGATAAATCAGAACATATAAACTTCAGAGAGAAAGAAAAACAGCAGAGAAACGAAAATATAATTTGAATGATTCGAATCGCCGCCGATCTCGTTTAACAGAATACGTAACTCCGTTTCTAATGGAAAAACAGGACATGATGTCATCTTACGCGGGTTAAAAAAATGTCATTTCTTGAAATGTTTAAAAAGTATAATCTCAATATATAATTAAGTATTGAAAGTATCCTCTACGTGTAATTTTTCCTTAATTTTATTAGTTTTAGTCATGTTTGGCAGGAGGCTAATTATGTCGGGAAAACATTTAGCCAATTATGCTCACTCTATCCCCTATGATGTAATTTGGATTTGTACCTCCCCTTCCTTCTAAAGAGTCATTATTAATAGTGTTTTTATATATTGATGGCCTTCGTGACCCTGTTTTTTTTTTTTTTTTTTTTTGAAGGTAATAAATTAGTTTTTATTAAAGGAAAAATAAAAAGTAAGTGCATTTCACATCACTGAGGATTTGAATCACTTTCCACTAACCATGCCACGAAGAATACACCAAGATCATTCTGCGTGTCTCTTGAGTTGTGACCTCAACAATTGATGGTTAACCAATCAGTCAACCGACCAAAAAGTATAAATTGGCCAAATCACAAAATATTGGGACGATTCGAAATTGTTTAACCTCGTAGCTTAATTTTAATAAGAGAACCGGCAAGTTTTCTAAAAATGTATAAAAAAAAAAAACTGATTCGACATATGGTTGAAGTTGCTCGTGCATAAATGGTTGAGGAGGAATTGGGTTGATGACACGTACGTAATTTTGTTGAACTTGTGCAGGTTGGGCTTAGTCAAGGGTATGTGATAAAATTTTTAAAATTGATTTCCTTGTTTTTGGGCTTGATTTGGTGAGTGAGATTCTCTTCGGATCTCTGTATGCAGAGTCTGTTGACCAAACAACCCTAACCATTCAAATTAATCCTTACGCTAGGAAGCAATTCTAACTTTTAAGGAGGGATGAAGAAAGGTGGTGGGAGATGTAGATGAAATGCAAAATGAAAGATGCAAAAAGTGAAACTAAAGACCCAAAACAATTTTATGTTTTCACTTTCAAGATTTCATTTTTGTTGATTCTTTATTTCATCCTCTCTCTCTCTCTCTCTTCGGTAACAAATGAAAAACCAAAAGTTACAAACAAAATAGTTATTAAATAGGCACTTAATATTATACAAGTGCCTAATAATATGCAAACTTGTATGAATGTATGAGTACATAACTAATCTGTCTACTACTATGATGATTGTGACTCTTTCCCTTCCTACTTCCTAGAGGTACTACTTCGGTGTTATTTTAACAGAAAATTGAGTCCATAATAGGAGTCACGAATAGACTCGGCCCACGCCCAATCTCTGGCTGGAACAACCCAGTCCCATTTTATATAAGGTTTTACTTAGGTCCAAGTGTTAATATTTTTCTTGATTAATTTGATAGGTGTTTTAAACTTGTGACTTCTTCCTATATAGAGAAGAAAAGTATCACTAAATCAATAACTAGTTTATTTTAATGGTAAGTTAGTTCATGTTATTTTAACAGAAAAATTAAGTCAAAGTTAAGAATCATCATTCAACCACTGCCTAATATTAGCCCAAGCCGAACTAGCCCCCATTTTATGTAGTGTTAGACTTAGGGAATTGATTTTCAGACACCTCTTTTAGCTTCTCATATACACTTCTTTTTTTATAGCCATCGAATTAAATAAATCAAACAAAATCAAGTGCCATGATTAAACAGGGATGCGTACAAGGCTAAAAAGAGTGTGTGAGAATCATTTCCCTAGACTTACTTGAGTTAAAACTAAGCAATGTTATATATATGGCATGAAGATAATATTTTAGTTAACTGTTTTCATAATCTCTACTGTAAGTCTGTAACGCATTTATCAACGTTCATGACAAATACTTGAGGGGTGTCTTGCCATCGTTGTAACTTTTATGTTTCTTGTTACAAAAGCTCGAGAAAAATTTCTTTGAAAAAAAGAAGAAAGAAAGGTCCTCGTTGATCCCGGCCCTTAGTCTTGTTGATTCATTTTTTGCATAAATTATTTTACAAATATTTTCTTTTTTGAATCAAAGTAGATGATTTTATTTTATTCTTAAGTGAGAAAGAGAGGGGGAAAAAAAAAGCGTTGGAGGGTGCAATGGAGCGGCGCCACTTAGTACTACGGTGGCGATTATGACAATTACACATATGGATTTCAATTTATTTTCAAAATATCCTCTATGATTTGGTTTTTAAATGTGAATCCACTCAAAAGGAAAGTGCATTAAAATTACATGTTGTGTACATGGTAAGAAATCTTTCTCGTAAGGTCGGTGACTCTATATATAGAGTATGCATTGCACTTCAACCTTCATGACTTAGTTCACTCACTTCTACAAAGCGTTAGTCTACACTAAATTAACCTAAACTATAAGAGGAGAATTAGAACTTAGGTGCAGAGAGAAAGAACACACCATTCTAACCAACTTGACTAAGTTAAGGTCTACACGCACAAGTTTTTTCATAGTTAGAATATATGTTGTTTCGTTAGTATAATGATTGCAAGGAAAGTGGTGGCTTGAGTGTGAAAATTGAAGTCAAAGGTAAACTGAGTTATGCCTGGCTCCTTGTATGCCACAAGCAGAAGCTCAATCTATTTCTTGATTGGCTACTACGAGTGGCGTACAGGGAGCCAAGCATACCCTCTATCTTTCTCTGTTTGAGTTGTCCTTCCATTGTTTGCATCATTTTGCTTTTTTGGAACCAATCTTAGCAAAAATGCAAGTGAATCCTCAAAAAGCACTTAAAGTGTTTCTTGCAAAAAGCACATAACTAGTACTTATTGTAGGAAGCACTTTTAAGTGTTTTTGGAACCCAAAAACATTTTCTTTAAAAGCGCTTTCAGCTATTTTAAAAATGCTTCGAAATGAATCCATTATTGTTTAGGAACTGAAGCTATACCCAAAAAAAAAAAAAAATTGTGAAGGGAATGAAATTAATTACATACTTAAGTTGAAAAAAATCCCTAATCCGCTACTAATTAAGATTTCCCATACCATACCAGACTTATTGTGATGACCTAAAATTCTTATTTGGAAGCTAATCACGGTGATAGCCCCAAAATAAAATCATGGTTAATCAATATTCTATTAACCACCATAAATCAAATTCGATTATTTTATGGTTGCATCTAACTTTCTTGTTAGACTGCCTATGTATCCTCAAACGGGATCAAGCCATCCGTATTTCATCATTCACTACACTCCGACGTTTAACACAGTACGTTCAAGCATAAAGCATGAACAAATGAAAGCAAACACAAGTAAACGCCTATTAGCAAGCATGGAAGTGAGTAATTACAATTCATTAACTTGGGTAGCATAGGCATGATTTTAATACAACTTATACTTCAAATAACAACACTAGTATAAAGCAAAGTAATTTAAAGAAAAACTCGGATAAGAATTGCATAATGTAGAAATAACACTCTTTTTCTATGCAAAAGTTGCATATAACTGTTTTGATCAAGCAAGTTTAAGCTCATAATGAACGCTCAAACCTGAACCAAATGGTACCATCTTAAATTGTTTTGGAGGCTTGTTCTGTGTACTTTAAAATCATATAATAGTAGTAGAGAACGGAGCCCTAAATTGAAAGTTAATGCCAACTATAAAATGGAGTCCCAAAACTGGAAATACAAAACTTGCTGCTGTCTGGCAGCCCTGTGACTCAACTTTGGACATAATTTTGATCAATCAAAATTCACCAGAATTAAGTGAAATCAGATGGGTTTTGATCACGGACATGTCTAATTTCAAAACACACAATATTAGATCAAAAGGAACTCACAAGGACATAGAAATCAAGAGCCAAAGTAGGCTACTTGAAACATAGTTTCTCTCTGCAAAATGAATAAGTTTTCTGCAATGTAGAACCCATACTCGTTTAATCCAATTTACAATTTCAGGGCAATCCCAAACCATCCAGGAATCATATTTAACTTCTATTTCAATGTGTTAGCTTACCCATATCATGCTTAATCTTCCTCTTTTAGCCAAAGACTACAAACCATTCAATAAAATTAAAGTATGTACCATTTCTTGTTCTTGTCCTGCCCTCTAAACTCCTCCAAAGTTGTTCATCAACCTACCACTTAGCTACTAAGCTCTTAAATCAATGTCACCACCACAACTCCTCAACAAGAACACCAGAAATTCAAGCTAAACATATAAATCTCAAACTTGTTCGAAAATGAAACTTGAAATTCGGAAGATCCACTTACATATCCTGGAATTGCATGATGAGAGGAGTATTTTTCTCTCTTGGGTCGAGACCCATCTCGGGCGAGGTTGGCCGGAATCGGCGAAAAGCCCACGAAAACAGTTGAATCTTCTAGGCTTCAATATACGAGCACGCTTGGTTCCAGCATATGGTTTTGGTATCAAATTGAAGAGGGCTTCGCTATGAATACATAGCCTTCAACCGTGCGTGATTTCGTTGCCATATGAGAAAGTTATCATTTTTTTTTAGTGAAGAAGAATGAAGGGGTAGAACAACACAGCAGCTCCCTTGCTGCACCTGCCTGCCGGGGGAAAAGGATAAAAAAAAAAAAAAAAAAAAAAAAAAAAAAAAAACAAAAACAAAAGAAGCCTTTGGCTTCTAAAATACTTCCTCCCAAAATTACCATTTTACCCTCTAACTTTAAAAATTCGTAACTTATTCGTTCTAATTTCAAATCACATTCTGCTTGCGCTCAAGCATCTGTATCGAAACGTACTATTCGAATATGTAAATAAATCTGGAAAATCATGAAATGATCAAATACGTACGCGAGGAAATCAGTTTAATACAATAGGGCAATTTCGTCATTTTCCACTTAACGAAAAATTATACAACATAAATAATAATGAAATCCGGAAGCGGGATTTCACATTTTCCCCATTTAGATTTCATAACCATAAATCTATTTATTCTCGATTTACTCCACTTATTCATATATTTTAAATTTTCAGGGTATTACACTAATATCTTTCATTGTATTTTATCATATTTTTGCTGGGAGATAGACGCACATTTCTTATCCTCTTATACATAATACATCGTTGTTTAATTTCATGTTTGTTGTTTCAGTTTAATTTATTCAACTTTATAACCAAAATTTACAATGCATGCATATGTAAGTACTTTTTTCGGAACAAAGCAAGAGGAAACCATGCATGCATTGCGTGGTGACCACTCAATAGAAGGGGCGCTGAGGGAAAGTGAAAAGTGTAATCGCATAGGGCCCCAAGTGTGAAGGGCCCCCCAAAGAAAATTATGTCTAAAATTTTTATGTAATAATGCTAGGTATTAAGAAAAAAAATTGTTTTTATTAGCACTCTAAAATCTCATTATGCGCTCCTTATAAGTGTAATTTTTGTTTTCTAAATATAAAAATTTGGAGTACACAACAAGATATTTGAAGTGCCAATAATAACACCCTAAAAACGATTTTTTTTTACTATTATATAACAATGTTATATATTCAATATATTCAAGTGAAACTTTGAAGTTGGAGTTTTAAAGAAGCTTTTTTCTTGTTTGGTTGTTCAACATTGAAGTGCTTCTAATTATTTATTGAAAGTTATGTTTGTAGTTCTTTTTACTTATTATTTAATGACATTTATAAATTTACAAGTAGTGAGTCCTAAATTTGTTTTGATTTAAGTTATTACTTTCTAGTATTAATACATTGTCCTACTTTTATTTTTTGGAAAGCTATTAGAAGGAGGGCCCCTTTTATAAATTTTGCATAGGGTCCCCGAAAAGACCTGCCACTCGAGAAAGGATCCTCACTGAATCCTTCAACCACATTCGTTTATTGTACATCATGCAACCAATTTTCATCAGGTACTGTTTATATTTACTTTTAAATATAAAAATTTACAATAATTTTTTACCGCACAATGTACGATAAACTGATGGATCAGGCAAGGATCCTCAATGCTACCACTCAACAATGCATGCAACTCGTAACATGCTCTATCTTTCCGATTCATGGATCTCTTGATCTCAACTATTGCTTGTATAAAAAAATTGCACATTTATACAAGGAGGGGGAGGTACAAACACAAATTCTGTGGATGCTATTATTCGTGTTACTAGTGCCAAACCAATTGGTCCTGCTAATGTCTTGGTTGCTGAAGCTTATGGCCTAAAAATGGGTTTTCTTATGCGCGAATAATTAGGAGGTTTATCAATGTTCAAGGTGACTTGAAGCTCATTAATTGAATTTTGTGTTGCCTTCTTATTTCTTAGAAAATTAAAATTGTTGTTCATGATATTTTGTATTTAGATTCTACCTTTAATTTTATTAGTTTTAGTCATGTTTGGCGGGAGGCTAATTATGTTAGGAAAACATTTAGCCAATTATGCTCACTCTATCCCCTATGATATAATTTGGATTTGTACCTCCTCCTCCTTCTTAACAGTCATTGTTAAATAATGTTTTTATGTACTGATGGGCTTCGTAACTCTTCTTTCTTTCTTTTTTTCTTTTTTTTTAAAGGTAATAAATTAGTTTTTTATTAAAGAAAAAAACAAAAGTAAGTGCATTTCACATCACTGAGGATTTGAATCATTTCCACTAACCATGCCACGAAGATCATTCTACGGGTGTCTCCTGAGTTGCGACCTCAACAATTGATGGTTAACCAAACAATCAACCTATCAAAAAGTAAAAATTGGCCAAATGACAAAATATTGGGACGATATTCGAAATTGTTTACCTCGTAAGCTTAAAAACCGGCAAGTTTTCTAAAAAATGAAAAGGTGCGTGGTAGCAAAGATCTCTGAACTTTACTTCATATTTAGTTTTTTTCCTTGAATTCTCATATTAGTTTCTCCTGTCTTTTAACTTAATTCTGCGTTGCATGAGTGATCATTCCATCAATTTGTCTTTTTTCCATCCAATTTATGGGTATAATGACCCATATGGAAAAAAGTTTCTAATTTATTTAAAAGGAAACTTGGCTTCCTCAGGTCAAGGAGGAGTTACTCCTCAAAATATTTAGTAACCTAGTCACAAATTTCGTACTTATAATTGACATGTTACAAATCACTATGTAAAGATCATCTATAAAAAAAAAATCAATTAAAACTAAGATCGTTTCGTCAATCCCTAAGGACTTTTGATCATAAATACACAGTTTATGAATAGGTCACAAGGTAATAAAGAGGAGTTCCTTCTCAATCTTTGAGCAGCCAAGTCTATCTCCTAAAAAATTCAATTTTTTTTATTGTTTGGATGAACTTCCTATTTTATCTCTCAACTTAATAAAAAAATTGACGGAGTTAATGAAAAGACTACTAGTATAACAAATGACATAATTCGAATACGGGAGAAACTAGTAGTAGAATTTAGGGACGAAAACTAAACTCTTGGTATAGATCAGGAATTTTTAGGACAATTTAACCAAAGAAGAGAGAATGAGAGAATTCCTTAAAAACCCTAAGAAGCCCACTTAGGTAATTCAAACTCCTTATCAGCCCAGACTCCAAAGCCCACTTAATTAAGGTACTTATTTTATACCTGGCCCACACCCCTTCCATCTTTATCTTCCTTTTAAGAAAAAATAAAAATAAAATAAAAATCCATCATTGGGACAGTTGGCTGTGACAGTTAGGTTCTGTCCATTTTAAAAGTCGGTTATGACCCCCTCCAAAACCCTCTACACTTCCTCCGATGCCTCCACCTGTCTCATCAAACGGCTTAAATTCCATCTAACACATCACTCACGGTTGCTTACGCGCACCAAACTCTCAGAAATACAAAATTCCCGCAAAAAAAAGAAAAAAGCGGGACTCGCGGTTCCAGGTGCCATCACACGTGGCGCCACGCGGCGCAAATCAGTTGGCCAAAAAAGTGGGCCCGTAGGCTTTATCCACCTGCCGTCTCGTTTCTTCCAAAGAAACCCATTCGTCATCTTTTTATTTATTTATTTATCTAAATAAACTTGGCATTTTATCTGTCTGTCGTCCCTCAAAAGTTGAATCTGGAGCGCGAGCCAGGCTTTTTCATTTCGGTATTTTTGCCGCTCTGCACGTTTTCACCCGTTTCTCGAAACAGAATTGAAAAACCCTAACCCTTATCGCATCCCGCGCTATTTCCTCTCGCAGATCTCACTTGACAGAAACACCCTTGATTTGTTTTCTTGAATTTCAGATCCTCAACTTTCCGAATTCGATTCGAAAACGCTTTGGATCTCCGAGCTCCTCTTTCTTCTATCGGATTTCCAAGTCCTGTTCGATTTGAAATTTTCGGGTTTGGATTCGTAAGAGAAGGTTAGTTTGTTAATTTTTACTTGAAAATTGGTGATTCCGATGTTTTTGTTTTCGTTTTTCGTGTTTTTGATTCGATTCCTTGTTTTTAGGATTAAAAACTGTTTTTGAATTCTGGGGGAAAAAACTGTGGTTCGTGATTCGAGCTGGGGGAAATAGGATTCGTTTTTGGAATTGGGTTTCTGATTGAATGCTGTCTCAGTCGCACAGTGCTTGTTTTTGGAAATTTATCGAATTCGGATTCTTGAGTAGAGTTGTAGTTGGATGGGTGAAGAGGCAATATGTGTGGAGAAATTGAGAGATGGGGAAGTGGAAACCGAAAACTCCCCGAGAGCTGAATTGAAGCGAGAGCACGAGTGTCTCGGAGATGATAGCGGGGCAGACTCGTTTCCCAACAAGAAGCAAGTGAAGGACCATTCCAATGAGGATATACGTTCGGAAGTATCAAACCCTGTTGTGTCTCCGAAAGAGAATGGCTCCACTTTTCAGGACATTACTAGCCAACCTGCTGAATTGGTAAATAATAACCGAACAGAGTGCGGTGAAGTTGAGTCCTCAAGTTCGGGGAATTCGGGCTCTGAGGAGACCTTGAGCGATGGACAGTGTACTGTGAATGATAATTGCCAAATTGAGAACAAGACGAATGGTGATGTATTGACCTCTCGGGTTGTGGTTGAAATTCCTAAGCTTGCCAATTCATCTGGCATTCGCAAGATTACGTTCAAATTCAGCAAGAAAAAGGAGGATTATGACTCTTCACATGGAAATGCTTATCAGGAGTCCGGAATGGACTTTCAGGCAATGGCTAGTACGAGTAGGGAGTTTCCAGCAAGTTCATGTTGGAGGCAGTGCGCTGAGTCCGGCAACTTTCATCCTTGTACTTCTAATTGGGAGTTGGAAAGTTCTACTAATGTAGTTCCGAGCAGCTATCCTTCAAATGTTAAAAAGCTATTGTCTACTGGTATTCTTGATGGGGCTCGAGTGAAGTATGTTTCCTCCCCACCAAAGGTATTATATCAAATATATTGTTTTTTCTCTGTTGGATGTAATATCTGCTTGCAGTATGAATATTTTTTTTTCTTTAGAGGTTCTAATATAAATTTTAGCAGATAGAGCTACATGGAATTATAAGTCGCGGTGGTTATTTGTGCGGCTGCTTATCATGCAATTTCACCAGGGCAAGTTTACTCACTGTTTACATTGTTTTGAGTTTAAGTGCAATATTGCTTATAGGCTTATAGCTGATTGATTCAATGAAATGAGCAGGTACTCAGTGCATATGAGTTTGAGCAGCATGCTGGTGTCAAG